GGTGCGGGTGCGGGGACGGTCGGGACGTGGCGGGGAGGCCTGGCGGCCCGAGGCCTCGCACGTCTCGGGCTCAGGCCGTCCCCGCGCAGACCGAGGGTCCCGGAGCGTGGCCTTTATCAAGACCCGGCCCTGGCCCTCCCTTCTCGGCCCCGCGGCTTGCAGTGTCGCCCTCCGCGCGGGCCGGGCCGTTGCCGTTTCCCGTGACTCACAGCCTCTGCGAGCGCCCGTGGTCCGCCGAGGGGCCGCCGAGCTCCGTGTGCCTGGAGCGCCGGGACCAGGGTCGTTTTCGACCACAGCCCGGTTCCTGGCGGGAACTTGCTCCCCTCCAGCCACGTCCTACCCAGCTCCGACAGAAGCGGGCAGAGGGGTTGGCGAAGGGCTCGTTTTGGGCCTGATATGTTGCTGATCGGAAAATGGCCTTGGTTTTTGTGTTGTGTATCGTGTTTTCAGATGCTTATGCATTCATTTAAGAGCACCCAAATCTGAGCCCTTTAAAAATAAAGCGTTTAAGAAAGTGTGTCTGTTCGTTCATTCGGTGTTCTTGAGCACCTCTGCCAAGGAATGCCAGGGGTCTCGCCCGCGGTGAGTGCCGGCAGGCGAAGGTCACAGCTGTTACAGGAGCACCTGCGGCCGGGAGGGCCGTGGGTTCCACTAAAACCCATCTTGTTAGGCTGAAATCCCTTGGGCCTTCAACACCCTGTGCGTGGTTTGCAGGGTGATCTGCTGGACGTGGAGGCGGCACATCCCCAGAGCCGCCGGCACCGCGTTTGTCCAGGTTCGTGCGTGTTGGCAAGGCCGTGGTGGAGGTGCCAGGCCAGTCAGAGGGCTAGTGCCCCCTGAGCACCCTCTGCTGTGGGAGGGGAGCCAGTGGTGGTTGCTCACAGAGGGTGCAGATGGAGAGAGGAACTGTCATCTGTCTCTGGAGGCGCCCAGGAGGACGCTGAATCCAAAGATCTGCCCATCCCCTCACATATGTTGATAGTTCTGCACGAAAAATCAAATAGTAGCTGCTTTTTGTTTTTAAGAGACATTTGCCATAGGGCGTGTGTGCTCACCAAAGAGAGACAGAAATCGAGAAATAACCCCCTGGGGGAGTGTCCACGCCACAATCCCTTCTCCTCCATTCTCCTCTCAGGATTTTGGGCACACATGCACACACGCCCGACGTGTTTTAAGCCACCAGGTCCTGGACTCTAACTGTTGTTGACTACGTGGGGAGTCCAGTGACATAATCATCTGCTGGTGCCTAGCAGCTATTACCTAAAAAAACAACAACGTAAACCAAACAAGATTTGTTTCTTACTGTTCTGAGCTCTATTCTTTTTTTTTTTTTTTTTAGACTTTTTGTGCCTTAAGGCACACATGCTTGAGAGAGAGACAGTGAGAGGCAAAGTGAGAAATCACCCCCTGGGGGATGGCCACGCCACAATCCTGTCTCCATTCTCCCAGGATTTGGGTTACACTGGCACAGACAGCATGAGTTTGAAGCCACTGCATCCGGAACTCGAACCACGGCCATATGAGAGTCCAGCAACATAACCACTACACCATCTCCTGCCCCATCTGGACTCTGTTCTAAATGTCTGGTTCAGTCCTTGCATCAACCTATGAAAATGGTTACTGTTGTCTTTTTTTTTGGCTGTGTTTTTTTTGCCCTAGGCCCGTGCACTCCTTGGAGAGAGAAAACTGGAGGAAAGTGTGAAAACAGACCCCATGGGAATGGCCACACCACAGTCCCTTCTCCATTCTCAGGATTTTGGGCACACCTGCACATGAGCCCAGAGTGGCTTGCCCTCGTGGAGCTTCCAGGCTGATAGAAAACCTTGAGAATTTCCTGGGTTTCCCCAGGCACAGGGCTCTGCTTTTCTCTCTAGTCCTAGCTCTGGTCAAACCCAGACCTTTCCCAGCCAGCCAGAGGACTGGGACTAGGGGAGATCCTCGGGTCCTGAGAATGGTGCCAGATGAGCTGCTCTTCCTTGATTCTGCATGTCTGTCCTGAGGACTGTCTGCAGCTTACTCCACGGCAGTGCTAGCAGTAGGAGAGCAAAGGATTCCTGGGTAACTACCAGGCAGCTTGCAAGTACCCTGTTTAATCCTCATGATAGCCCCTTGAGGGTCATTCCCACAGGAGGATGGGAATGAGCAATTTGCTCGAAACAGCCAGGACCCAATCCTCACCTGACCCCAGCCTAACTCCACTCTTAAGTGCAGGGCATTCGTTCATCATTAATCAGCAAGTATTTAGTTAAGTGCCAGGCAGCACCCTGCCGTACTGAGACACAGTCCTTGCTGTTGTGGAACTTAGTTGGGTAACAGCATCAAAGTAAGACTGTTTGTTTGTTTGTTTGTTTTAAGAGAGATTTTTGCTATAGGGTGTGTGTGCTCACCAGAGAGACAGAAGGTGAGAGATCACCCTCCAGGGGGATGCCCACTCCACAATCCCGTCTCCATTTTCTCTCAGGATCTTGACGCACATGCACTCAGCCTCAGTTTTAAGTCACCAGATCCCTGACTTGAACCACAGTCAGCTACATGGGACTCTGGCAGTGTATCCACTACACCATCTGCTGGTCCTTTTTTTTTTTTTTTTTTTAAGAATTATTTACTTGGAGCCAGCAGATGGTTTAGTGGTTAAGGGCTCTGGACTCCCACATGGCTGACCAAGGTTCAAGTCCCAGACCTGGTGGCTTGCTGTCTCACTTTCCAACTCACTCTCTCTCTCTCTCTCACTTTGTCACTCTCTGGTCAGATTAAAAATAAATAAATAAAAGTTAAATAATTCTTTTTTAAAATAGAATTTACTTGGGGCCAGCAAGTAGTGTAGTGGTTAAGGTGCTGGACTTCCACATGGCTGACCATATTTTGAGTCCTAGACCAGCGTCTTGAAATTCATGAAAAGTGTGTGTGTGTGCATTCCCAAAATCCCAGGAGGAAAATGGAGAAGAGATTGCAGTGTGGCCATCTCCCGTAGGGGTGACTTCTCATTTTCTCTGTCGCTCCAGTGAGTGCACATACTCTATAGCAAAAATCTCTCTTTAAGGGGCCAGCAGTTAGCGTAATGGCTATGTCGCTGGGCTCCCACATAGTCGACCACGGTTCGCATCCCAGACCCAGTGGCTTAAAACTCACGCCGGGCGGGTGTGCATGCGTGCCCAAGATCTCGAGAGGAGAATGGAGGAGAAGGGATTGCGGCGTGACCATCTCCCCTGGTGGGTGATTTCTCACTTTCTGTCTCTCTGTCTCTCTCTGTATGTCTGGCGAGTGCACGCGACCTATAGCAAAAAAAAAAAAAACAACCTCTCCAAAACAAAAATCTCTCTTTAAATCTCTCTTTAAAAAGAAAGGGAGGGAACCAGCAGTTAGTGTAATGGCTATGTTGCTGGACTCCCACGTAGTCGACCGCGGTTCGCGTCCCGGACCCGGTGGCTTAAAACTCACGCCGGGCGCGTGTGCGTGCGTGCCCAAGATCCCGAGAGGAGAATGGAGAAGGGATTGCGGCGTGACCATTCCCCCGGGGGGGTGATTTCTCGCTTTCTGTCTCTAATGTCTCTCTCTTTCTGTCTGGCGAGCGCACGCGCCCTATAGTGAAAATCTCTCTCAAATAAATAAATAAATAAATAAATAAATAAAAGAAAGAAAGGGGGGCCAGCAGGTGGCTTGGTGGTTGAGGGCACTGGACACTCCCACATGGCTAACCACGGTTCGAGTCCTGGACCTGATGGCTTGCTTTCTC